CACTGCTGTACTGGGATTTGTTTGTTGACTTTATTGCATCAGATACCTATCAGTGAGCTCATTATAAAAGGCACTCACTATTTTTCTGGTCTGTAAGATGCTACTGTGAAGCAAAAAACCAACAGAGAAGCAGTTCTAGAAGAATCTACACCTCAATGTGAAACAGAGCCAAAGGCTATGCCATAAAGTAATAAAGTGTCTATCTAGGCAAATAAATGTATACAAACAGTAAATCACAAAAAACTTTGGTACAGGCTCACATTTAGCTTCACTGTCATGAAGCATATTCACAAAACTGCCTGAGAGATGCTTTAAAGTGAATTTCAGAGCACAAGAAACCACCATCTGCTCATTTACAATACCTCAACTAATGCTTTTAATGCTTCATGATGGCATAGTCAAAAATCCTTAATCATTCAGATTGTTTTTGTAAATTACAAACTCTTTATTGATATTACATATGGATTACAATTTTCCAACTAAAAATTGGAACTTAGTTGGAAAATTAGTTTCCAACTAAGCCCAGATATTTTTTCTATTACTTTCTAATCATGAAGCTTGTTGTGTGCTGGTTACTTAATGTTTAAAATAAAATTCAAAGTACTAGTGACTATTCTGTAATAATGTTCTCTGTTGTATTCCCTTATTCCCAGCACTTACTGCCCTTAAATCCAATTTTAACAGTGCTTGCCTGAAAATCTCATTAGCTCAATGCAGAAGTGAATCCAATAGGTAATTCATATTAACACAATATTAAGGTTATAACTTAAGCTACCAAACCCAATGAAATTCAGAAATATGACAGCACATCTGTTACTGAAGTTCTATATTGCTGTAGGATATTTATAATGTTTACACATCAAAGCATGAGTAAATCATGTTATGTATAAAGCTTCCCACTTATGTCTGATTTACTTGGATATTTTCAGCACTGATCTTGATATGGCAGGATATAGACAGGCTTATGAATTGCAGTGATTTTGTGAATAACCATTGCAGAATGAATATATCACAGTAGCTTATCTCAGAATTTTGGTGATAGCTATTCCCAAATTTTTGCTACCTTTCCTATCTCCTGGATTTTACAGTATAACCTTGCCTGGTTTGCCTAGTCTAACTGGAAATTATTGCTCTATTACATTTATAACTATTTCTCTGAAGCCACTCCCAAATCATAGAATGGTTTGGGGTAGAAAGGACCCCAAAATCATCTAGTTCCAACCCCCCTGCCATGGGCAGGGATGCCTCACACTAGACCATGTCACCCAAGCCTCTGTCCAACCTGGCCTTGAACACTACCAGGGATGCCCCTTTACCACTTCTTTGGGCAACCTGTTCCAGCACCTCACCATCCTCACAGTAAAGAACTTTTTCCTTATATCTTACCTGAATTACCCTTGTTTAAGTTTGAAGCCATTACCCCTTGTCCTATTGCTACAGTTCCTAATGAAGAGTCCCTCTCCAGCATCCTTGTAGTCCCCCTTCAGATACTGGAAGGCTATTCTGAGGTCTTTACGCAGCTTCTCTTCTCCAGGCTGAACAGCCCCTATTTTCTCAGTATTGCGTAGTCCTTAGACATAAATTTTCTTTTTTTGCTCCAAGATAAGTTAGATTCTATTCATAACTCCTTCTACTACTTTATACATTTCCCTTTGACCATTCTTTGAAGTGTTCAAATGTAAGCAGATTGCTATTATTATCATCGGTACTGGTACTAATGTAGCAAGTAGGTATTTTAACAAGCTTAACGTGATGATTCAGAAGAAGAGCTGAAATTTTATAAGGGAAGTGGGTCTTTTCCATTTTTTTCCAACCACTTCTATAGTTTTGAAAAGAAAACATTTTCTCTGAGTCAACATTTTTCAAGTAAAGTTTAGTATTACATTACTGCTGCATTTCTAGCCTTCAAGATACTTTCCTTAAGTAATATGGGAATAAGTTACTTTATTTGCAACGTTTTAGTGTTGCAGTGGCAGTTAACATTTCTATAAACTGAATAATTATAGGCCAACATTGTAGACAACCAGTGGAGCATATTATTACAGCTACCATATCTGCAGTGATTACTTCAATTTCTACTGTAGAGGAGTAAGACAACGGAAAAGGAGAAGGAAGCCATTTCTTGTTAATTCCTGAAGCGTGCATTTCAGGACTGCTGGTTGGATCTAAAGCAGAGTTTGGTGTGGAGTCAGGAAATAGGAAGAGTTGTTTTGAGGATATAAAGAATCAGAACCAATTTGGTTTGATAACCAGCACAAGCATTTCTCATTGTTTCCCAAAGAACAGGGTTGGGAAGGAGACAAAGAACCGGGTTGAAAAAGAATTGTTAAAAGGAAGAAGGGAAAACCCTTACAATTCTCTCACATTATAAATACCAAAAAGAAGCCATAATATTGTCCAGTAAGAACCCACATGTGCACATAAATATTGTGATATTTTCCAGCCTGCAAGTCTATCAGCGCTTGCGCCCATCACAACTACAAGCGGCTGGTACATGTCCACACCCAGCCCACCCTCCTCTTTCTCAAGCACATTGCTTAAGGAAGGTTGTTGGCAAGCAGGAAGCATTCCAGCACTTTAAGGGCTTCAGTGCAATCACACTTTTTGAATTTGCCTGCAAAAATGAAACAGCTTTACGACCATAATGCGGATTTGATACATTGCTATCTTTAAATATGATTACTCAATAGGCTCCCTGACACTTCACCAACCAATATTTTGCTCCATTTCTGAATAGCAAAAAAAATGATTGATAAAGTGATTTTTAATTCTAAAACTAAGGCTCTCTCTGGTCTTCCTCAGTAAAGGAAACTTTGCCTTTTGTTGTATCTGCTTGGCTCTTCCCAGTTATTTAACATTTTCTTTCTTACAAGGGACAAAAAGATTTTGCTTCATGGGATGGCTAGTCCCTAAAGAGCAGACCAAGTCTTCGCTTACTCTTCCATTTTACTGCAAAAATGACACCTTGTAAAGGTGCAGATATTTAAAATTAAAACTAATCTCTCCCCAAAGCGTTTTATTTATTTATTGCTGGAGAGGGGGTGATAAAAACTAGAAGGTAAATTTATAAAATTAACAGCTTTTCCTGGGAATATTTCCATTACAAAACAGAAATATAGTCAATTTTCTCAACAACACAACCAGCAAGGGAGTATCATCCTCACAGGATGCAAGATACAGCTTTTTATGTGCAGATATACAAAGAGAATAGTTTCATAAACATATTAAGCAGATCCAGATCTGGTGGTTTTCTTCAATCAAGAAATAGGCAAAATGCAACAGAGTCAGTGAGGACCAGGAAGACACTTTGGATATTATAGAGTACAAATGAAAGGGTCAAAGTGCAAGATCCATGTAACAGACTTAAGTGCTATGTAGTGCTTAGAGGCACACATATGCAACACAATTAGGTTTTACAAGTCAAACAAAATATTCCTGTTTAAATTTTCATCTTTAATGCAGACATCCAATGAATGGAAATAAAGGATAGGTACATCAATGACACCATTTCCTTCTTTGTGACAAAGTCCTATACAATATTCTATGTTTCAAAGCTGAAAATGGCTCTGGACTAGACACAAGGAGATCCACGAAAGAGCGTGAAAGAGGAAGTTATATAGATATTAGTATGTCATATTTCATGATGTCTGTACTTGGCATAAGACAGTATGAATAACAGCATTATAGTTGCTTTTGCCCCCGCAGCAAACCAGTATCTGTATTTGCACCGTTCTGAAAAAAGGTAGAGTAGGTCATTGTACCATTTTCAGCATCCTTCAAAGGTAAAAATTAAATAACTTTTTTCTTAATTTTATATACAAGACCTATATTTTATTATGGAATAACTTCAGTGTATTATGTAAAATCACTGTAAGCAGTCTGGAGAATTTCAATGGTGTAATTTCTCAAGGCAACCTTCGAACAGACAAAATCTGTAACACGCATTTAATGGTAGAAAACAGACAAAAAGGCTAGCTAGCATGCTGTTCAATCTGCCCACTGGCCAAATTTCAGTACCATCTTGAACTACTCCACAAATTTTAAGTAAACTGCTTCCCAGTTGGGGAAGACAGGATAAGCATTCATCCCTCCACATTTGCATCAGATATGATGTCAGTTCATTATATCAACCACCAGAAAAATCTGGCACTGCAAGCCTCTGCTTGCAGTTACATCAGATATGAGTATGATATATATCCTAATGATCCATGAGTCTGCACAGTAATGGAACACAGTGTCCTGTTAATGTAGTGACCCACATCAGTTGGTGAGCATAGGCAGGGATACGTGTATCATCAATACATTAGTACTACTTATGAAGCCCGTCTGTGAAAACCGCTATTTCAGAGAAATATCCATATTTTACAGCCCTTCCAATAAGCAGGCCAGTCACTGCTTTGCAAATATCCATGACCATGAGGCCAATGCCAAACTGATTGCCAACATATCTTTAGTATGCTGGCCAGTTTCCATGAAGCAAAAGAAACATTCTAATACATTATGGTCTGTCTCATCTTGACGTCCTATGATCCAAGTCATGTATCAAGGCCTTTGTACAGCTGCAAAAGTGGGGCTTTCTCCTTGTGATGTTTGTGATTCTACAGCTTGTTAGCCCATATTACCATCACAGTACTGTCACAACATTTTCATTCTGTGGGCCTAGTCCAGACGTAGCAGTCTATGAAAACAGATAATCAGCCTGATCCATTCCATTTCTCCACATGGTGCCATACTGTTGATGCTATTCTGGTTGGTTTATGTCGATAGCTGCAACATCATCTGCCTCCATCATCTCCCAGCCAATATATTAATTTTGCAATAGCCATCTTCTATTTATAGTAGTAATTCGTTTAAGAAATCATTTTGATGATTTTTTCACTATCACACTCTTAAGTAATTCCACTAATAGCCTTCGCTATCCACTTCAAACCCTCAATAAAGGACAGGAAATGATACAGAGAAGACTGGTGCATCAGTTGCTAATTAGGCTGACAATCTTAGTCATGAATGCTTGTCAAAGGATACTGGACTGAGAAGCTTGTTCTAACACCCAGTGTTCCACATTTACAGGGATGAAGATCGTCTGCTCCTTAGCAACTATTCCTTGCTTAAGAGTTAAAGCCACAGTTAGAAACCGGGCACCTAATACAGTATAACGTGTTAGGAAAAGAAGAGCCCTTGAAGATCGCAAAGGAAGCTAACCATTAGTGCCTTGAATGTGAAATCCCTTTGACAGACTTACAACGTGGCTGCTGATGAATTTGTGTCTGCATTGCTTTTACTAGTAGTGACTAACTACAAATGCCAGTGATTAAAGCTGGCTGTAAACACTCCGAATGGGCAAGATTCGAGTCAGAAGCAATCCAACTCACACATTAATTTGTCTGTCCAGAGAACGAGATTGATTTGCATCAGGTTCAAACCAGAGAGCAAGCTACTTTTACTTATAGACGTGTGAAAAGAAAGGATTTTGAACTCCAGTACAGCCAGGTGCCTGGAGCTAGATGCAAAATATAGAGGGAAAATTTATAAAGCTAAAATAGTAGTATAAGCTTGTCAAAAGTCAAATTAACAACCTAGAGATGCAGCAACCAGTGGACAACAAAGAGTATAAAACATGGCAATAAGCAGTATTAAAAATAGAAAAATAGAAATTTGTATGAATCTGTATGTTCTTATTGTTTGTACTTACACAAATCAGAACAATCTTACCAAATGATCACAAGACTGTTAATCTCATGGTGACAGAGGCTCATATTCCTTTAATGAGATGATAAGTAACTCCATGACCCAAAGAAAAATATTTCTATGAAGAACAGCGATCAAAATACTAAGACTAATGACGAATGACCTGGTTCTGTTTGAAAGCGGGGAGGAGGGAGGACAGAGGAAACTAACAGTCATCCTTCATGGGATTCCATATCTGTCTGCATCCTGCACACCACATATGCAAACAAAATCCAAGTTGATAATGACTCTGGGTTGTTCCAAATGTCATTAATTAGGAGTTAATAGTATTTGTCCTGGGAGATATACAGTGGGCTAACACAATTCTAAATAATACATGTATTTTTTTTTCCCCTGGAATAGGCATCTTCGCTGCAGCCCAACTCTACCCTCTGCAACATTTTTACTGCAAATGCCAGGAAAACATGTTTACGTTTGTGTTCAAGCTACTAGTAACCTACTACAGCCTTTTCATTTCCTGCAGCAGGCCTCTGGTTTAGCTAGAAAAGAAACAGCCTTAATAACAGGACCACAGATTTGCAGACTCACCATGCTACAGTTACTATTTGCTGAAATGCACTTCTTGTCATCACACCACTGGCACCCATTTGTATTGGCAGTACAGCTCGCACAATCCACGTACCGGTAACATCTGTCATCAGCAGCAGCTGCAATACCAATGACAGGCAAAGGGAAACGTTGCACAGGAGAAAAATACCACATTTTAAACACTTGCCTAGAGAATTTGCTGTTACATCCTTCGTTTGAACTCTAGCCATTCATAAAGGTTTAGGTTACTGTAGGAAATTAATTCTATTCAGTTGATAAGATTTACTCCTTTAAAAATACCTTTAGTAACAACTATATTTGAAGGTTCGCAAGTCTCATATCAACTGAAGGAATACTCACTGGAGAGTATTTGCAGCATACAAACTCTCAGCACAGTGCATAAGAGTATCAGAAACTTTCTTAAGTTATTTATTCTTCACTCCTTTAACACAGAAGAAAGATTTTCTTCCGATGCAGGTTTCTGACAAAAATATCAGGTTGCTATGCAAGAAGTCAATGGTAAAACTAGTAAATAAAAAAATCTAGGGCAGATATTAGCAACACACAGACATTTTAAGTCTTTACAAATTAACTTATAAACCTAACAATGATTGATAAATAATAGTTCTGCCCTTTCTCTACAAAAAAATGTTCGAGGAATAGTTTCACGTTTATGTTAAATCCTGAACACAAGGCTTCAGGACTTGGACTAAATTTTAATGTTATTTAAAACAGAGACAAGTTATACATTCTGTTTAAAAGAGGTAAAAACCTGCAAAATCACTATGACCCAAAATAGAGGAATTCCTACCTTCTCCTGCACTGATCACCATGTTTGAATCCTGTGCAGTTTGGTTTCTTTAGTCTCAGGATCACACAAGTTTGAGATGCTCTTGCCAGGAAACTGATATTTTGAAAACCCACTAGAATTTCTGCTTATCCTTTAATATTGACTATCAGCAGCTTCTCAGATGATACCATCAACCAGATAACAATTGAGCAGTGTAAAAGAATATATGAAAAACTGGCTTGAAAAATTTGGCCTAATTACCACTTGAAACTGGAAGCATTTGAAGCAGTGATGTCCACACAACTTCTTTGGAACTGGAATTCTATTCACCTCAGCTCTTGCAAGTTTAGTTGTTTATTGCTGCTGCGGCAGCTTTACTTCGGAAACTGTTCTAGCTTTACTTTCCTTCAGCCCATCTGTGCTTTGTTTGCTTTGTTTTTTACCTGTTGCTTTTTACAAGACCTGGTTTCATCTGTATTATTTTTCAATTTAGCATCTCAAGATTTTTCCTTTTATGAAGAGCTGAAACTGTAGACTCGAGATTTCTAAATGTTATTAAACTGTACAAAAGCAGCTCTTCAAGAAAGCTTTACCTCGGTAACCTTTTTGCTATATAATGCACCTTTTCTGAGTTTGAAACTTTATATACAGTTTTGAAACAAATAAAAACTAACAGAAAAATAAAATGTCCTGAAGTACTGATTAATAGCAGAGCTAATATCTTTTTCACAAACATTAAAAGTAGACTGGCAGTTTAATTGTATGGTAGTTTGTATGTGTAGTACAGAGCCAAAGTTTGGTTAGCAATTTTATACTGTGCTGAAAGGAAAGATGCACTGAAAAAAATAGTAGGTGTATGTAGCAGTGATGCATATGCTGTTCATGTGAAGTACAAGAATAACACTTTCACAAGCAATTTATTTATGACAAGCCAAAATACTGCGGAATAGGGTGCAACAGTTATTCGCAATGCTAAACTACTGTTTCAAACAATATAGCTATCACAATGCTGCATAGAAATTCACATGACAAACTTGAACCTGTTTTGACACACTGCATCAAAGGGCTTGTTTGCTTCAAGTTTGTTTCCAGCTGTGGCTGTACTATATTCTTCTATACAAATGCTCCTGTTTGATAGGTAATCTACGTGAAGCAGCAATGCTTTCGCTCTCAATTACTGTGACACACAGACAGGAGACTGCCATATGCCTGTAATGCCAGATATCACTTGGAGCCCCCATTAGTGCTCTGACTGCTGTAATGCTTCCTTGAAATCAGAAAAATATGAAGGCTTATATATATATATATAGATGTGTCAGTGTGTCTATGTACGCACACATATATATCCCAAAACAGAAGGTGGAGAAAGAAGAAAATTAGTTAGAATATTTCAAAGCTCACCCTTTTATAAATGCTTCAAATACAGAGCCAAATCAATCTAAAGTCATTTTACACTTTAGCTCCCCAATGAAATAAATTCTTGCTTGAACCATCTTGGTTTGTGTCCCGTAGCAGCTCAAACTTGTGCCTTCTGCACCTACTTCCCTGTATTTAAATGACGTCAAAAATCAGAATTTAATGATTTTAAAGATTAATCCATAAATCTACTGCATTGCACTCTAAGAGGAACAGTCTTAATAGTCCAGTCACTAGTTCTACTTGGTTGGTAGTGGTGGGGCATTTAGGGTTTTTTTTGCCCCCCATCTCTTAGCAAATCTGACACTGTAAGACTACAATTCACTTACCTGTTTTCTTTGGACATTTTGCTCTAAGGATATTGTTCACATGTCCAGATTCCCAGGATTCACAATGTTTCTTGTTCCACAGACACCTTATCCCTGGACGAGCGCTTTTACACAGCTCTTCATCTCTGAATGCTTCACAGTTTGGAGGCTTGTACACAAGGATGTCATTCAAAAGAACACTTGAAAAGCCCCCAAATATATACATGGACCTATTAGCAAAAAGCATGTAAAATGTAACTGTTATTGTAGCTATGGATAGATTTTTCTGATGTCTTATCTGTCTTGATATACAATTTAAAAATCACACATACTATCATCTCTCTCTAATAAAGACTCTGTCAGTGGTTCCATTATTGATTAGTTTTCAATGTATTTCTCCACTAATTTTAGACTAACAAAAAATTTGCTCAAAGTGCGCTGTGTCTGGAAAGAAGGAAGAAGAGCTGTGGAGGAAACTACTCATTGTTGGAGTCAGATAATGAGAACAGAGTGTGAAATGATGGCCTGCAGGAAATGAGAATGTTTTTCTTCAAGAAGATTTCAAACACAGACAGCAATCATTGGCAGATGGGTATTTCTTTTTGGTAACATTTCCGGTGCAGTAGCTGCTGACAGCAGAACCAGATGACATTCCTCTTCTCATTTAGAATTAAGGTAAAAGATAATAATGAAGAAATTGTGTATCATCTGTTATATCACGTACTCTTAAAACAGAACTAATCATACAGTTACCAATAGCAGAAATCTTTGTGGAGCACCTCATATTACATTTTTTTGAACATAAAACCCTACTAAAAATACCATTAAGTTCAGACACTAAAAAAGGCATTTTCACTTTTAATCTAATTCACTGACAGGTCTCAAAGTACCAGATGTCTTAAGACACAAATCAGAATGAAAAACTACCATTTGCTGAATTCATTAATTCCAGGCAATTTTCTCTCAATGAAGTAACCTGTTCATTGATTAATTTCAAATGCTCTGTCTATGGAGTTACAACTTATTGCTATTTTCATTAAAATCAGACAAACTCTTACTTTTAGTATTATCACTTCCATTATTTCTTAACTATACAATACCCATATGTAAAGGATCTGTAAGTTGCTTTCATATACTTCAATACTGAGTTTATCAGCGTGATGAATCATGTAGAAGAGGATGATTAGTAGTATTATGATCTATACTACTGCAACTGTCAGACATTAGGCCAGTTGGCAGCTGGTCATAGTAAAACTGAACCATGCAAACTGTAGAAATTCCTTTAAACCTGACTATATTATTCTACCTTTCCTCTAAAAGATGGTATTTGTCTTACACTTTTATCTTTGGGGTTTGGGGTGGAAGAAGCAGACAGTTCATGCACCAAACCCAGAAAACTCCAGATCAAATCCATCTCCTGTTTCTAGATGATGAAGTTTTACTGAGCATCTCCACTCAACCAATGATATGAAAGTATTTTCTAAAGGATAAGCAATATATTCAATAAAGTCTAGATACCGACAAGCTATTTTTCCCCCACAAGTGGTTAATGATAACTGTATCAGTATCATCAAAATCTTGCTTTTTCCAAGCAAGTTTTAGTTATGTTTCTGATTTTATGATTGAAGAAGAACAAGCAATTATAACATGCTGCAAAGAGAAAGAGATATCTCCCATCACATCTAAGCAAGGATTATAGTTGGTACTGAATTTTCAATTCCCAGTAGTTCACAACAATGAGGAAACACCTCAGTAGACTAGAAGGTTCAGATAAAAAGCCATTGAACAGATTCCACAGAAAGTCAGATTGATGATTACTTGTAATGACTACCTAAGGCAAGATTACCTAAGCCCCTGATGAGCACTGCTTTTCATATTAATAAATTACATCAGCTGTATGGCACTGAACCATACTTCACATAAGTATAACTTCTGCCACAGAATTTTCATTCAGACAAACAGCCAGGAAAATTTAAAAGACACTTCATTTACCCATTACTGACAACAGCAGTGTGACCAAATCTGTTGACATCTCGATGAAGATTAGGCTTTGGCAAAATCTTCCATTCATCACAAGCTGAAAGATGAAACAAAACCATATGAAAACATACATCAAATAGTCATAAAAATCAGCAAAATATATGCAAAATGGATTTGATCAGATACTCTTTTGTATTTTAAGTATCAACTAACTTTATTGCCTTTTTATCCTCCTTTCCCAGAGGGATCAGTGCAGGTAACTTCTGCTGTCTCCATTGTAAAACCAGACCATCTATACCTCATGGCTATCACATGTTCTTAGCATGTTTTCACCACCTTTTGTTCTCACAACCTCTGAAACAAAATTTGACTGATGTTTTTAAAACCATTCTTAATATTAGTTTCTAGCAGTTTTTTAAATTGCTCTGTAAAATCAGCAGGATTTGACAGGCTTTTTTTTCTGTTGTCACTTGGTGAAAGCTAAGCAGTTTTCCTCCACTTCTAATAATCGGCTTTATTGCTTTATTGTGCTGTTTAAATATGCCATTTATTCAGAATTCATAGGGTTCTTCTAAAGTCTTTCTTTGGAGGGATACGCATTTATCAACGTATATCACAGATCAGTGATATACACACTATCAGTCCTTAAACACACTCTATTAATGCCATTTTTAAACTTTTGATCCTTTTCTTTTCAAGTAGGCTTTGGATTTTTAGGTAGATCCCTCTTTTAAATGCATTACTGAGATTTCCTGGGAAAAGAATTCCTATGCATACAGACTCTCCAACACTTCTAGAAGTCACAGGATTTGAGCACACTGTGGTCTCTAGTTCTGAGAAGCTGTATTTGCACTGCCCAAAAATAAATCAACAGGTATTCCTCTTAGATGCATCTGTCAAGTAGGTACTCCAAGAACCTGTCAGCAACGCTCATCTATTATGTCATTTATCAAGGCCATAGGACACTCACAGAAGACTCCCTTTAATATACAGTTCTCTGCCTTCACAGACCATTTCAACACCCTCAACGAGCACTGCCACCGTTGTCACCAAGTGCTCAGTAGTATTGCCCTAACATTACACACTCTCAAATTAGAAAAAGGATTTCAATTCATATGTATTTTATGGGACATCTGTGACAGTGAACTTCTTTCTTTTCACATGTTTTTTAAGATAAAATACCACTCCTCCATCTGTGCAACCCCTCTCATTATTGTCTTATTTAAGTCACTACTAATTACTTTTCACCAAGTATTCAAGATGAATGTTGTATCAGTATCTTCATGACAAACTAACTATTCGATTATATTTCTTTTAGTTTAGTTGTAGGACCATTTACAAATGTGGTTTTGGCGTGATTTCATTTTTCTGTCCTGAGATTTTAGTTCTTTAGAACAATTAGTCTTTCTTCAATATTTCCTACTTGAGCTTTACTGACTTCAAATATTCAAATCGCACAGTAATAGAAATTGGAAGCACCCAGAGATTGAAACTTCAAGGGAATCCCTTTAAAACAGAGCAAAAAAGTAGTTTTCTGCAGAGCAGACAAAGCATTTGTAGAATTTGTCATCAGAACAGGTTTTGGAGACAAGGTCAAGAAAACTTTCGTATTAGACAGAGGGGTTACAGTTTTCTCATTTAAAAAATAAAATCTGCTATATACACAAAGATAAAGGTTAAATCCAAATTTGAAAAGGAGTTAAAGGGAGAGAGACATCTCTAATTTAAACCAGCTAAAAGCGTGGCTTTCTAAATACATCTATGTATACACACACATATTTTAGGTTGTTGTCAATTATGTTGTCCTTTCAGATATTCTTGATGAAAACTAACTTGCATTTTGCCTTTACATGGTTTGAAACCAGAATAACATGACACTTCTCCTTTTTAAACCAGTGGCAAAGCTATCTGGACACCAGGACACACAAGAAAGACCTTGTTACTCAGCATACTCTCCATAATACACAGAAGTGGATAGAGTTCACACCTGTAGAAGGTATGGAGTAAGAATATTAGTACCACAGAGAAGCAGAAGTGTCCTGCAGAGATCAACAGTCAGAAAAGGTTGCTGGCATATAGCAAGACTTTGGGGAACTCATCTGAAACCTGTTCCCAGGGTTTAATGCAATTATTAAACAGGTTGATTTTTACCTACTATTGCTGAATTCATTAACCTGTAAGATTGAATATCTAAATAAAGTATACTTACTTATAAATAAGTATAATAAGCCACATCTAAATAAGGTATACTTATTTAACTTTAAAGTTTGTAATAACTTATGCAAACAAACCAAAAAGAAACCCAAACACTCCTCCTCCTTCCCAGCTTAAAATAAAAATAGATATTGGGAAATCCAGGAGGGACAAATTGTCCTCCAGGCTAGCATTATACAGAGCCTAAGTCACCAACTGCTGGCCACATCGGTCTTGGTCTCATTCCCACTGTCAGAACAGTTCATCTCCACTAGCATTGATGTTCTGATACTTCTAATGCAGAAAATTATTCACAGCAGTACTTTGTCCAGTTAGCACCCTGTTAGCATTCCATGCTGAAACAGCTCCATGCAAGGTCACACAAGAGAGGACTCAGCACATTAGAGGGGGCAGGATGGTACAGCTATGGGCAAAAGTGCAGTAATACACTGCTAGGTTGACTTCTGCTCCCAAAGAACCACAGCCTGAGCCCACAAAGAGAGTCAGAGTGAGACTGTGGCTGTAAGAGCGAAATCAGTTACATCTTTTTATAAACTGGAAACAGAAAGCACATTATCACCAGAGTAACACAGATGGTCCAAACAGCAATAATTTCAACATCAGATGGTAGACTCAATGAATTTAGTAGCCTGAATGAAAATAAAGTTAGTAAGTTTAATTCACTGTCTTATAAGGCCACTGTATCCCCAAAATCTTGCCTCTTTCTCAACTTCTACCTTCTGTCTCTATCAAGGCTAACATATTACCATAAAAATCATGGTATTATTAATACACTTCATCACAATTGCTCTTTTTTTATTTTCTCTACTACATTCTTAAATAGAATGGTGAGAGTACACACATGCCAGAGAGATAGTGTTCCTAAAACAGGTTCAGC